CACACACACACACACACACACACACACACACACGTACACACATACACAGGGAATCTATAGCACAGTAGACTCATTTCTCCTGTTATGTCATAAGAAAACTTCTTCATGACTACCAATCTCTCACCTTTCCCTGTCTTAGTTTATTATTTCCAATAGAAGGATAATTAGAGTTTTCACTGAGCAGCAAGGAACATGTTTTTCAGGTAGCCTACATTATATAGTCTAAGAATCTCAAGTCTTAAAAGAACTCATGGGACTAATTTTATCAATAGCTATGTTCATAAATTCTGCAGGAGAGTTTTAAGTAGATTTTCTAGATTCTTTAACCTCTTAGCATTTAGGAATATGAAAACAGCAAATGAATAGTGCTCTGTTCTGTGACTAATATGATTCATGATTTGGCATGTTCATATTATCTTTAGTATCCAGGGTGAGATTTAGAAGGAGCCACTTACGTCTTTTTTTTTTAAAGTTAGATGAATAGAAAAATCATAAACATATCATTTCCATATTTACCACTCCTTGCTCAGATTCTACTTATAACTTCGACTGGCGGATGTATTGCTAGGATGAAAGGCTAGAAAATAAGATCATGGTTTGACTTAATACTCATTTTTGTGATTGCCAGCTGACTTTCTTTGTCATTGAAGACAAAACATTTCAAGATATAAATTTGTTCAACGCCACATAGAGACTGAAGTAAATGTAGGTAGGTAGTAAAGGCATGTGCACAGAAACATGGAGCCAAGAAACCAAAATTATGATTAGTGACACAATGAAGTGATTCTTTTTAATAGACCATGTTAGCCACATGAGTAGTACAGGGCAGTGGTTCTCAAAACTGTAATGAGAATCACTTGGAGACAGCTTTATTTAAACAGGTGCCATACCCTTACCCTAAGAGGCTTAGATCTTAGTAGTTCTGAGGCAGGCATTTCTATAGGTCAGGTTCCTAAGTGATGCTGATGCTGATCCTGCTGATCCTACTTCGGAAATCACTGTTTATGGGGAAAAGAAAATGTAGATGTGGGAGCAGGTGTGAGAAAACATGTTCACCAGATAAGTTGAAGGTATATAATTTTATCAAGAAAATTTTGTTTTATATTATTGGTTCTCAAAATGATCTAAAAATTTGAGATTGAGGAACATTGTTTTAAACAAAAGCAATAACTTGAAAGTTTGATTTCACAAGTATATGTTGCAAATGAAGATTGTTGCTAGTATAAGGAGGATATGGATACTGATTTGTATAGCGACTTAGCTTTTTCCAATGTCACCCAGCTTTATCTGATGACTCAGTACAGTAACAAGAAAGTTGGGCAGGTTGCCAAATGAAAATAGTGTTTCCTTTAGTAGAGTTCTTACTCAGTCTCAGGTTATAAGTACATTATGAGGATTATATCATTTAATCAACACAAGAACCCCATTTTGCAAATGAGCAGACTGGGCTCCAGAAAGGATAAGAAATTTCCCTATAGTTATGCAATACTGGTGAAGCTGGGATTTGAACTCAGGTAATCTAACTCTAGAGCTTGTGCACTTAACCTGAAGTTATATGTTCTTCCTGAACTTCATAGCCTACTTAGGATGCAGTGGAGAGTATGAGGTGCACTCAGGTGTGGTAGTTGACTGTGAGACTATCTCAGTGTTAACTACTATATGAATAGTGAAGCAAACTTGCAAATAAATTTTAACTCCTGTATTCACTGGGGGTCTGCCACATGCATTAGGAACTTTGCTATAATAGGCATTGCAAAGCAAAGTCATCAGGAAAAACAAAATAAAACAAACAAAAATCTTAGCTTGAAGAATTTAGGTCAAATTTAATCAGTTTTTCAGTATTCACAGATTTTCCACCTGAATTGGGCTACTGTGAGGAATTATAGATGCTATTTCTCTAGAGCCCTTTAAAAAGAGCAGGGAGAAAGTGTTACTTTTTCAGGTATCCTATTACAATGCATTACAAAG